CTTGCAAATCATCTAGTGTATTCTGATTCCTGACCTAGTCACTGGAGAGAAATTAAATTGAGTGGAGGCACTAGGTGGCGCCAGCCTGGCTAGTATATAGAAACATATTTATCTCGTAGGGCCTCAGATTGGTGGTCAGTACAGTGAGACTGTATATGCATTTTATGTATAGCTTTGACTGAGCCACAACAACTTTAAAAAGTCTTGTAACACTAATTGTAGGTTTGTATCACAATGCAAAGAAATGCTACTGTGGTTACAGTGATCGAATGACTTTAATTTGCAGTCAAAAGTTTGCACACCTCTGATATACAGAATACAGCTTGCTTTCACTCAAAAAGCACATTTACGGCTGAAATGGTTGATTCATCTCCCTGAAAAACATAAATGTAAAATCATCTAATCAATGTACTTATCATTCATGCATAAATCAGCTCAAAACCTTCTACCATGAAACTGGAGGAATTTTCTGGAACTTGTACACAGAGCAGCACTTCCAGCACATATCTACACATCTACAGAGCTCTATTTTAGACTGGAACAGACCACATGGTTCAGCCTGCTTCAGTCCAGTCCATGTCACTGTGACTCTGAAAGGAAACCAGCAATCTCTGCAATCTGCCCCAAAACCAGCCTCCCATGAGCCTCTGGGGCCACAGCAGCAGTTTGGAGACATTAGGAAAAATCCCCCAGACTGCAATCGAATTAAGGTTACAGCATGAAGTAAGGCTATACAATACTAAGCAATTGTGGCGTTGGTGTTGAAGAAAATTCCAGGCAAAGCAATAACTTTTCCATGGAAACAAGCGGCTGGTGGAAGCTCCAACAGAAAACTTACAGAGGATAGCACAGGACAATAGAGAAATCATCATAACTGTTACTGAAGTTAGTTATTTTGTGTATAAATAAAATTAATTTGGTAGTACACTAAGAGTATTTCAGAAGGATGGCACTAAAAATGGGGTTTGGGTCCATAGACTGTAAATGGAAATTCCAAATAGGAAGTGAGCAGGGTGGTGTTTCCTGCTCCATCAACTCTGGCTCCAGTTGACTTTACATTGAAAATTTGTCACCCCTCTCTCTCTGTGACTGCTGCAGTGATCCTCATGTTTGTCTGTAAATAAATTCCTTTTCTAAATAAGGAACTCGGCTCCAAATTCACCCCTCTAACAGTTAACCCGGTGAGCTTCATTTGACTGAAGCTGAGCACTATGGGTGATGACGCCACACTCCTTTAGTCCACTTTTTTCTCCAGTCTATGGTGGGGGCAAATAAGTGTTTGCTTTAAAAACACAATCACTATTTATATAATTGTAGAATAAATGATAATCATAATTTGAATTTGATTACATGACCATTCCGAGCAATGGACGGTCTCTCTTTAGGTCTAAACTGGACGTGTACAAGAGCAGAGGGGCAGAGAGCGGCGGGCAGAGGGGAGAGGGCAGAAGGGAAAGGAATCCCTCCTGACCGGTCACACCCTCCACAAACAACAGCACACACGCTCCAGACAGAAGTGTCCCAGCGCCAGAGGAGACTCACAACTGGGCCAGTGTATGGAGTTAGACACTGCTTATTCACGGCCACATAAAGCCCACTTGGCAAACACAAACTACCAACACTTATATGGGATTTAAAGCTTGTTTTCACACATTTTACACCTCGAGCAAAGAAAAAGAGATGCATTATCAGGTTTAGGGCTGAACGATTTGGGAAAAATATCTAATTGCGATTTTTCAGACAAGAATTGCAATTCAGTTTGTGTTTTGATAATAGGATTATGCTCAAAGTATCCAATTTTAAACAGGTCTAGGGATGAACCGATATTGATGTTATCGAATATCCAGGAAAATTTGCAGTATCAGGTATCGGTTCCATAATATCGATAGTGATGATACCTGGTTGAACTCTTCACTGAATGATGCAGGCTCAGGACATCTCATGATGACTGAACTTTAATTCATACAAAGCTGTTCAGTAGTAACTTGCAGGATACATAACAATTACATAACACAATAAAACCAAATTTGTAATAAGTCAACTGTATTTTGAGAGAAAAAAACATGAAATTTTCAATCTCAACACTTGAAAAATCCGCAGATACTTAAAGACAGAGTATTAATATCGGAACTGAAAATCCTGGAAAACCTGAATGGGTCCAGAAGAATTGACAAAAAATACTGAAATATAAACTGACAAGCTAAAACAAAAATCATATCAACATGTTTCTAAACTGCACAGTTAGCAGTTTTTGTGCAGGATGAGACAGAATAAGATTCTGTTTATTGAGGAAATGATGGTGCTTCAGAAACTGCAGCCTTTGCGATTTACTAATTGCATCCAATTGGAATATGATTGACTGTATTAATCTTGTTGTTTTGTACATGAACCAAATACAACTTGAATATTATGCCCATTTATTGCCCTCCTTGGCAGAATCATAGGGACAAACAGTTTAAGGACATTCTTTCCTGTAATAAGTAAGAGCTCTTTGCCCATAGATGGAAATGCAAAACAGGAGAAAGGTCAGTTTGAACACACCCAAAACCAGGACCAAATATTTAGTCCACGTTACTCACAGTTCCTCTGAAGAAATGCTCAGGGCTAAAACAATAAATACCAAGTAGGGTTAAAACAATGGGGTTATGTTGGAGGATGTATGGTTGTCCAGAGACCAGAGGAAACAGGTGAACGCTTGGAAACCCTCGTGGTGTTGACAGTCTTAGTAACAATGTCCTCATATATTTGACTTATAGAGCTAACGGTCTATTGCTCAGAAATGTGGCCACTTGAAGTTACATTAAACACATCTTTTCAAAAGGAAAGTGGATTTCCTATAGGATACTGTATATTCTCTTTATTCCAGGCCAATGACCTACCGAAGGATTTGTAGTAAAACCTAAGTGTATTCCCCTAAAAAGGTTAATACAGCAGGAGCATGTAACTGCAGGGAAAATGGACCGTACAAAGAATATAGAATGACAACAATAACCATAAACTGATTCTCTAGATTTTAATTTGTGTAAAAAATATATTTGGATGGACCTGCATATGACAGTCATGACTAACTGGACTGAAACATGTTTTGGGTGACAAAAAACACTGTCAACCGGAGTATCAGAATGACTTTTATTTTATTTTATTCATTGTCAAGAGTAAATTAAGTATTAGCTGGGTTGCACTTCAATGGGAGACACTAGAGAAAAAACTAATATTTTGTCTTTTTTTATTTACTTTATTTACTCAGCATGCAAACTTTCATGTGGAAACAACAAAATTGTCCACTCTGCACTGAAAGATGCTTTAATATTTTTACATGAAAACATTATATGATAAAAACTTGCCTTGTTTTATTACGTTTATGTGAGTAAACTACAGAAATTATAGCCAGATTTTTCCTAGTCATCTGCAGTGTCTCACCTTAACAATAGGAGCATGTACAGTATTTTATTTTAACATCAGGAAAGGTCAAAGTTTGTCCCATTTATGAGATTTATTTTTAGAACCACTACATGTCCAAATGAGTATCTACCTCAAGATCTACCAGAGTACTGTACTCTACTACTTATACAATGATATAACTACTGTTGTAATTAACAGAGGAATGTTCACAAAATACTTCACAATCCTTTGGTTTTCTCGTAGGCCTGGCATGCCTCCGACAGCCTGTTTTATTGGCCTATTAGCCAGCCAAAGTTATGCAGGTCTAGTAAAAGAACCCGCACTCATCACATTGCACTTTCGTTACCGATGAGAAGGAGGGAGGAGGAGGGAGGAGAGGGAGGGAGGAGAGGGAGAGGAGGGAGAGGAGGGAGGGGGGTAAGAGATGAAACCGATTCCTTTGGGCTCAACCCTCTCCCTGTCTGCTTTCATTGAAAACCACAAATTTGTGCTCAGACAGCTGTGTGTTTTGTGTTTGTGTGCTGTATTAAAGTGTTAAAAATGCTATTTAAAAAAAAGAAAAGTTTGCCTGACGTAAACTTGACACAGAGCCACAAACAGCTGATCAAAACCGGTCTGAAATGTGAATGAAAGAATGGTGTAGTAGATATGGGGCGTTGACGGTTACATACTTCAAAGACAATTACAGCACTTGTTGAATCAAAACTCAAACGAGCGTTAAAAGGTACAACATGGGTCCTGGGGCTGAGGTACTAGACTATTATAAAAAAAAAGTGTATGACTGACACAGGTGCATAAAGCTTTTGTTTATCATTTATGTCAAATATCTTGTACAAATAGACAAAAGCTACAGTTTCTATATTCAAGTACTTGTATTGTCCACATTGTCAAAGTTTTTTTTTTTTTCCATTTAATTAGAGCTGGGGGCCAGTTTAAACCCAATCACAGGCTCTGCAGATTTTACTGGTCCTAGATCATACAACCATTGACTCCTGTGAGCTTTAAGTCATGTTGTAATGTTGTTACTTCATCACAAACAGACCTGGAGTTGTGTTTTGTTTCATTCACAGGTTTGAGTAACCTTTTATTATTAGTCTGTCTACATCTCCAAAGCTCAAAATGCCCTGCTGCACCTTGTGATATCATAATGCAGTCATTTTCCAGTTAACACTACTTTTTACCTTTCAGTAGAGATGGGCAATTCCCGGGCTAAAATCATCCAAATGATTCTAGCAAAGGTGTGTGTTTAAAAGCACAGTGGAGCACTTCCTGTATTATCAGATGACATTTCAAGGTGGAACACAGTGCTTTGTTTGAGAAAAGAACCCTTCCTAAATACATGAGTGAATGAAACGCAATCCCTTTTTTGTTTAGTTTTTTGAAGAGGAAAGAATATTACACCATAGATCAGAAAATAGTCTAATATGACACCTTTAAACCATTTTAAAATAACCACTTAAGAGGCTCAACCTGTTGAAGTGGACTGACAATTGCACTAATACCTTTTTATCTCTTATTATCTCTGTTTTTGTGGGCTCGGTCTGCTTGGGTGAGTCACAATGGGAGATGACTAACTTCAAAAGGAAGATGACGCTTACCTGAGTTTGAGGTTGCCCATGAACTCCTCCATAGAAACATTGTCCAACAGAACAAAGTCAGCCTTCCCAAACTCCAGGCTCTCGTGTTCAGCCATCCTCTGTAGTGTGTAGCTCAATAAAATCCAACGAAAAATATACAAAAATACTAATTTACAATTTTGGAGTGTCTCGGGACGAAAAACGTGCGCGCGTTTCACTCATCACTCCCAAGTCCATTAAGTTCCAAAAGCGGAATTAAACAGCAATTTCTCTCATGCTGGAAAACGTGGCACGAAAACAAAACCTAACCTGAACAGTATACGCCTACTTTCCACAACCTATGATGTATTTTAAACGACAACACGGCTCGTATCCATACAAAGTTTACACGTAAAACAGAGTGTCGTTATCCCGTTACATCGTGGGCTTCGTTTTTCCTGGAGTTTGTCTCCTGTCGGCCGGAGCAAAACATCCAATCAAATTCAAGCCGCCTGCCCTGTCCCCGCCCCCTCCCCGTAGAGGTGTGGGTCTGTCTGGCCCCGCGTCTTCAAAAATATTACAAGTATTTGCGAAGACCGCTAAGTCCACTGTCTACAAGGCATAGTTAAGCCGTGACGCATTCATTTCATAGAGGAAAAGAGGAAAAAGACATAATATCTGGCTGATTTGTAATGCCATGGTTGCCATATAAGGAGAAGTGGGGCAGCTCAGGAATTTAGCATTGACTGAAAAATAATTTGCTTATAATTTTAAAAGCTCACTCACGGTTATAAATGTTTTCGAGGGTGATAAAAGTGAACATACACAGTTCAAATAAAATCCAAGAAAAGCTTAGATTAGAGGGACTCTACTATAGTACACTAGTATGTGATTGGCTGTGATGGGAGATGGGCAAACATTGAGAGGAGGGCCCCCTCTTGTGGAAGACAGAGGTAAGTGCAGATTTATTCTAATACATTTAGAACAATTATACTAGTATTATTTCCAAACGATTAATACAAACGTGTATAGAAGGTGAATACGTATTGATTTATTTACTTATTTTTGCATCTTTGAATTGTAATTATGCACACAACACAGAAGCTTAAACATTATAGAAAAATATCAATAATTTCAAGTCACATCATAATGAATTCATATCAAAATACAGTGTAAAAAAAATCACCAAAAAATTAATCATTTCAAATTGCAGTTGTTCATAATACAATACAATTAGCCAAGAAAAAAAAAGTCAAAAGCTTAAAGGTGCACTATGTAACTTTTCTGATGATGTAAACCTGCTTGTTTCCATGGAGATGTTATGGCTTTAGCTGGAAGGTTCCACAGTATGACATTAAACATATCTCTCTCCATGGAAACAAGCATGGAAGTGACGCTACAAGGTCAAATTACAGGTCAGATCTGTGAAGCGGGGACCTCACTCAAAGCGTCTTTCTCTGTAATTACATTCAGGCTGGTTACATTTAATGCCATAGTGACGAACATTCCAGCTAAAGCATTAACACCTCATGGTAACAGAGCCATACTAGAAAGTTACATAGTGCACTTTTAATAGAAATTTATATTCAAGGAGTTATAGCATTGAACAAGTGACAGCGCCAAAGCCAAGCTACAGGTTAGTTCTGTGGAGAGGCGAGCCCACTCACGGTAAGAACGCGCATGTTTAAGGTTGGGCAATAAAACAGACTGATCTGATTAAGCTTACTGCTACTGTGGTAACTTTCAGGCAAAGCAATAAGATCTCCGCAGACACAATCTTACAATCAGAAAGTTACATAGTGCAGCTTTAAAGATGCATTGCGCACATTTTCTGGTGGAGGTTCTGCCACGGAGATGTTATTGCTTTGCTTGGAATGTTCCATGGTATGACGTTCAACACATCTACACTACCGATCAAAATTTTGGAACTCTACACTTTTTCCAGTTTTTTACTTTTGATTCATGAAAGTGTCCACCTCTGGCAGATATAACAGCTGAACACACTCGTGGCTCGTTCTTTTTACAACAGAAATCAAATATTGTTCAGAAAGTTCTTCCCAAGTTTGTTGCAGAAGTTTCCATGAATGTGTGGCACTTGTAGGTTGCATGGCTTTCACTTTTCTGTCCAGATCATCCCAAACCAGCTCGATAGGGTTTAAGTCTGGACACTGTGCTGCTGGACACTCCATGTTTTCAAGCTTTACCATCTTGTTCTTTTATCCTGAGGTAATTTTGTCAGAGCTTGGACTTGTGTTTTGTATCTTTTATCTTTTTTTTTAACCTCTACCTTTGTACCATTTCAAGCTCTTCATTGGACTTGAATTGCAATAAAAGACTGGAAAAATTAGGGTGTTCTAAAACTTTTGACCAGTCGTGTATCTAACATTTATTCATTACGGGTGTTTCTATGCTTAAAAATACAATCATTCCTTCTGCGAATAGGGTTGCCTCTCCACAGATCTGACCTGTAATGTAGCCCTTGAGATAAAGAGGTTTAATCTCTACCGTGAAACATTCTAACCAAAGCAATAATGTCTCCATGAAGACAAGCAGCCATACAAAACTCCAAGCAAAATGTATTTAATCATCATTTATACTGGACTAGCAAGGAGCCTCCAAAGGTGATGGTGGTGGACACTTTATTGGCCCAGGACTTGCCGCTGTTGTGGGTGACATAAACCTTGGACCCTCTGCGCAGGAACGTCATGTAATAAGACAAAGTGTTAACAGACGAAATACGGGAGACGTGGGTTCTAGACTGAGACACCCAGTAACCATTGACGACCAGCCACAGATCCGTCTTGACGTTGGTGTAGCCGCTTTGGGAGGAGAAGAAGAACTGATAGAGGCCGTTGACGGGAGCCTTGAAAACTCCTGTCCTCCTGTCGTAGGCGCGACCCAGGTTTACAAAGACTTTGGAGTACCTAATCTGGTTCACTTTGCCCTTCAGACGACCAGGAAATGAGGCGAAGAAGTGGACTTTTCTGGATGGAACTAGGATGCGGAAGATAAAGAAATAGTTATTCAAAGTGTTGCTTCTTGGGTAAAAATTAATTCAAATATGTAAAAAAATACAGTGGGGGAATGTAACAAAAGCAATAGTACAATACTTTAAGAAATCAAATTAATCACCTAAAATCAGCTAAAAATGTTATTGCAGTCACTACATTTGATACTTTAATTGTTCTAAAAATATCTGCAAAACATTTTTACTTTTTATTCTGAAAGTACATTTTTAAACAGGTAGATTTTTTCATGTGATACTTTCACTTCTACATGAGTAACTTTTTTGCCCTGTATCTGTACTTTTACTTAAAAATGTGTTAGTTAATTGAGTACTTCTTCCACCACTGTTTAAATATGATGACCAAGTTAATGCCATACTGTGGAATCAAGCAAAGCAATAACGTTTTCATGAGACAATCAGGTCCTTCCACAAGAAAAGTTACACAGTGCACCTTTACTTCACACGGCCAGAGTAGAGAGTTTTTTATGTTTGTGTTTTAATGTTGGAGAGTTTTCACTGTGACCTTTTGACTCATTGGAGTTGTCAGTTGAAGCTCAGAGCTGGTAGACAGACTGAAGCCACCTAGTGTCTCCACTCAATTTCATTTCTCTCCAGCGACTATGTCAGGAATCGGAATTTGCGGAAGTTTGCAAGAACCCTGAAAATGTGAGTTCGGGCACCAGCCAATCAGTGAAAAGCCATACATTCAGTGTTGGCGAGAATTCCCCAGATCGAGGATTTAAAGCCTGAACAAAGAGAATGTTTGGTGAAGTTTATCAAGGGGAAAAACTTTATTGTCCTTCTTCCTACGGGATTTGGGAAAAACATAATATACCAGTTAGCCCCGTTAGCGGCACATTACATACATCATGACCAAATAGCAGTGATTGGTTAAATTTTAAAAAAGTACAGGCCAACAGGCTGATGAATCAGGTTAGAGAGTTGGTACTGTGTGTGTCCATTATGTTGAGAAAAAATATATAATATTATTATTGATAATAATATTTCCAAGGTACTTTTAGTTTATTTTTTAAGGAAATGTTAATTCAAAGATTATTGGAATATACCACATAAAATTTAGATAGTCGCAGTAAAAGTAATCTAATAGTGAAATTTTAGTGTTAATAAAAGCTCTATATATTGGTAATAGCTGTAATAAAGCCATTATATTGTAACAGCAATTATATTTGCTTTATATTTGACAGAAGCCATATAAAGGAGCACTAAGTAACTTTTCTGGTGAAGTGTCTGCCACCTACAGAAGCCCTGAGAGTCAAGAGAAAAAGAAAAAAAAAACAGCCCAAATGATCTGCTTCTTTTTTTCTCTCTCTCTCTCGCTTGCCTCTCAAGGCTTTTGTATCCACCTGCTTGCCAGTACAGATTATTGTATGGCTTGAAAAGTTCAACAGTATGGCATCAAACTCTGACAACGCTGACCAAGCAAGTGTGGTCAGAGTTGTGGAGAGGTGAGCCAGTACAACAGAAGAAAGCTTGTTTTTTAGGCAATAAAAACATGTATAATTGATTGAATAGTATTGATAATTATATTGGAAAAGCAAATCAATAACTTCTGTACGGAGCCTGGCAAATGATGAACCCTCCTCCAGAAAATGTAAATAATGTAGCTTAAACTTGTCCTTACATCTCTTAGTTTTACACCTCCAATTAATCTTGTCTCGGCTCACGCAAGACTGGTTCCTCCTGCACCTTCCACATGTCAGAGTGTTTATATCTGCAAATAGACAGACAGGATCACACTGCATTCATTAGACAAACCCGCCAGACTGTACTCCCAAAATACCATGTCTTAAAACTCCTTTGTACCTGCGCAGTACGCCAGGTAACAGGTCTGCGGCTTGGTGAACTTGTAGACGTAATAATTTCCCCGACACTTTTTGACCTTGATAGGAGTGGAGCGGAAAGCACAGCACTTTTTCTTCCAGCTGCCACAAACTTTACGAGTGACAATTCCGTTTCTTCTTGAGGGGTGGGGGCCGGCCAGCCACAGGGGGGAGTGGGTACCGCATTTGTTTGCCGGGATGCACCTCTCAGGCATCTGCAGGCTCTTACCGTTGTAGAAAAGGCGGTACCAACCTGTGATTTGATAAATGTGTGGTAAATATTGTAAAAATATCTAAAATTGGAGGCATACATAGAAATCCTCCTCAAAAACATACCTGGAGTTGTGTTTTGTTTTCATTCACATGTTTAACTCACAAACCCTGCATATGTACGCTGAGTTCTTCTTTCAAACAGAAAACACACTGTTCCACTTTGTGATGTCATGTTGTAAATACAGGAAGTGCTCCACTGTGTTTTTAAACTGCATACACCTTCACTAGATTGGATAATTTTAGCTCTGTAATTGCCAATCTCTTCTGAAACAAGGGTAAAAGGTGCTGACTTGAAAACTACTAAAGGCGGAGCAGAGCATTTTCAGATTTGTAGATGTAAACAGAATAATAATAAAGTGTTACTCAAACGTGTCAGTGAAACAAAACACAACTCGAGGTCTGTTTTTGAGGAGGTAACAGCATTATAACATGGCTAAAAGCTCACAAGAGTCAATTTACACACTTCTTATTTGGTCCTTGGTTTAGACCTGGTTTGGTTCAATTTATTTTATTTATTTATTTATTTTTTTTGAACAATAATTTATTACCTTTTTAACCAAACAGAATAATACAATCCAGCACAGCATAGTCTGCATAAAACTAAATGGACAGAGATTACCATCAGGTCTGAGTCAGAGCTAAAATGAAAAAGAAATACACATTGCATAATTGTGGTTTGGTTCCATTTATAATTTGTTGAAAGTGCAAGTGTGAGAATCCTCTTTAAACAAGCCTAAACCAGTCTGAACCAGGACTAAAGCAGATCTCAACCAGGACTTAAGTAGGTCTAACCACTGTCAAAGTGTCTAAGATCAAACCAAGACTGAAGTAGAACTGCTTTTAGGTCAGGATGAGTGAAGCGCAGGACTTAAGCAGAACTCAATCTGAACTTAACCAAGTCTAAACTTCATAAACACATCTCAACAAATAATTACTTGAACTGCAAAAAAACCCCTGTATCTCCCCATAGTATATTATATCGCCTTATATTCATAGATAGCATTGGATTGTGCATTCAGTATCACAGTTTTAGCACAAATAAATAAATCAAATATCATATCTCTTACCTTTCCATTTGATGTAGCGGTCACACATCTTTTGCTTGGTGGTGGTGTTGGTCGCTCTCCAGGACTGGTCCAGGACGGTGTAGTGGAAACACGGGTCCCCGCGTCTTTTGGACAGTTCGAATTCCTCAGACAAATATGAGTCTTCTTCATCTTCATCATCCTCAGAAACGTTCGCAGCAGTGAAGTAAGTTAGAGTATGAGTCCCTATAGCAAGACAAGCAAGATTACACACCACCTGCTTGTCTCCATGGAGGTGTTATTACTTTGCCCAGAATGTTCCACATTGTGGCATTAAACATGTCTATGTGCATGGAGAGAAACACAGTGTGTCACGCAGGCTCTGTGGAGAGTCGAGTGTTCTCACAGTAAAAATGCTGTTATTCAAGGTGGGACCAAGTTGTTGTTTTGCAAGTCTAAATGTTTCAAGTCCCAAGTCAAACACAGGCAAGTCCAAGTCAAGTCTCCAGTCACTGGTCCATAAGTCCAAGTCAAGTCCAAGTTCTCTACTTTGAGCTTCAAGTAATTTCAAGTCTTTAAATCCAAAGTACCAAATTTTAGCAATTTCTATATATTTTAAACTAAATTGTACTTAAAAAGTCATGGTATATTTATATTTGCATATTTATATAAGAGTTGTAGAAATGCAATTTTTTTTCTTTTTAAATGTTTTGACAAGTTGTTAGTGTGAATCATTACTGTCAGAGGAGAAAGAATTCAGATTTAAAAGTGCTAAATATCAGTTATTTTGTCATGTAGTCTCCACTGAAATGGAAGGATCGTGTTTTTTGTAGTTCTTGTCTTACTGTATATTACTGTATTGTACTGTATGTTACTGTAGTATATTTGAGGACATCATATCACAGTACTTCATTTACATCCAAAGTAACAAACAGAGAAGTGAGACGGACATTTTCCAAGCACAGCATTTATCAACTGTAAAAAGAAAAGTATTTTCTAAACACATATATTTTTAGGAGACACATCAAGTCTTCTCAAGTCACAGGGCTCAAGCCCGAGTCAAGTCCCGAGTCAGTGACCTTCAAGTCCAAGTCGAGTCCCAAGACTTAGTCCATTTTATCAAGTCAAGTCTCAAGTCCTAAAAATAGTGACTCAAGTCTGACTCAAGTCCAAGTCACGACTTGCAAGTCCCACCTCTGCCTCTGAGTAATAAAAACTAAAATTTTAATAAATGCAAACATACAGTATAAGTTTAATGCTATATTGTGGAACATTCCAGGGAAGGTGTGCAGGTAGGCACCACAAAAGTTACACAGTGCACGTTTAAGATTCATTAAAAATAGCAAGAATTTTCAACTATAATGTACATAATTTTTTGTTTATAGTAGTTTGACTAGAATAACAATATTTTTACACGATTTATGTTGTTTTTGTCATGAAGTCACATTAAAAGCTTTGAATAACGTGAAGCTAGAAGAAATATGATAATAACTGTTATCTTGAGTCTTAGTTATATTCTTAGTTAGTTAGTCTACGTAAGTCTACACACAAGTTATATAGTTTCTCCAATACAAATCTTTCAAACTAGTCTGATTTCTGAGTTGTGTGAGAAATGATGAATTATGAAACAACATGATGTAAGAACAGCTCATTTGCATTTTCTCTTACCAACAAGGTCTTGATCTTGTTCCTTATGCTTAATCCTGTGCATCTATTAAAGGAAAAACAGCATAACACATTAGTCTGTAGGGAAATATAAATTAAATAAATAAATAAAGAAAGAAAGAAATATAGAAATTATGCAATACCTGATTCAGTGCTTTGTGCTGCTGCTGGACTGTCGTCTGCTCACACCTTAGACTCTCCATCTCCTGTAATCATTACATGTGTAGACTTTAAATACACCCTGACATTGACAGTATGATGTGGCTTCATTAGTAAATCAACAGAGCTTTTGTTTTGTGCTTATTCAGTTTCGTTATGTTATTTTTATTGCATCAAAATGTGTTATCTTGACAGGCCAATCAACAAAAAGTGCTGTCATTTGGCCTGATGGTGTCTCTTGCTTGTATCTGTGGAGTAAAATAAAGGAAAAGCAATAATATCTTGGCTGACCCTCGACTAGAAAAGTTACATAGTGTGTCTTTAGATCATAGAGAAAAATCCCGCACACCGTCTTAGATGCAAATTGTGAGATTTATTAGGACAAACCGTGCAACGTTTCGGCAGTAGGCCTTCATCAGGCAAACAGAATGAGAGCTCAGGGGGACATCATATACAGATGTGTCAAGCACCCAAGGGTGACAGGTCAAAAAGGAACAGTGTACCCAAAACAACATAATTCAAGTGAAGTTGGGACGCTGTGTGTAAAAAAAAAAAAAAAAAAAAAAAAAAAAAAAACCCAAAACAAAACAGAATACAATGATGTGCAAATCCTTTTCAACCTATATTGAACTGAATAAACTACAAAGACATGATATTTAATGTTCAAACTGATAAACTTTATTGTTTTTATGCAAATATTCACTCATTTTCAATTTGATGCCTGCAACACGTTCCAGCGTTCCAACGTGCAGAGATTTCTCCAGATTCTTGGAAACTTTTGATGATATTATGGACCGTAGATGATGAAATCCCTAAATTCCTTGCAATTGTACATTGAGAAATGTTGTTCTTAAACTGTTGGACTATTTGCTTATGCAGTTGTTCACAAAGTGGTGAACCTTGCCCTATCCTTGCAGGTGAATAACTGAGCCCTTCGGGGAAACTCCTTTTATATCCAATCATGACACTCACCTGTTTCCTGTCTCCAGTGAACCTGTTCACCTGTGGAATGTTCCAAACAGGTGGATTTTAAGCATTCCCCAACTTTCCCATTCTTTTGTTGCCCCTGTCCCAGCTTTATTGGAACGTGTTGCAGGCATCAAATTGAAAATGAGTGAATATTTGCATAAAAACAATAAAGTTTATCAGTTTGAACATTAAATATCATGTCTTTGTAGTTTATTCAGTCCAATATAGGTTGAAAAGGATTTGCAAATCATGGTATTCTGTTTTTTTTTTTTTTTTAAGTTTTACAGAGCGTTCCAACTTCACTGGAATTGGGGTTGTAAAATAATCAACATACAGGATAATAATAATAATAATAATAATAATGAAATATTAATCAAGGTAGAAAAATCATTGAATAATAATGGAAAAATAAAATAAATAATAGTGCATCTTTAAAATATTGCAGTTTGCGTTTTGCTTGAAAATGGAGCTGGTGTAAATTCAGGCCGTTTATCTCACCGCTCATCTCCTAAACGTCACACCCTTCATTGCGATGTTTTCCTAGTAGTCAATAAAACTACTACGGTAATATTTCCTCTTCTCTTTCTCTGTGTCCGTCTGAGTCTCTCCAGGCTGAATTTCTATTAAATCATTTTTTCTCCATTCTATTTGTTGATCAGAACCATAAACTTTGAGACTTACTTTAAATAATCTCAGCTTTACGTTTTGATTATATTGTTATTATCTGAGTTTTGTAATACCTTGATCACTGCAGCGAGTTGAACATCCATCGGTTGATCTTTCATGGCCCACAGATTTTGTCCTGTCTGGAAAGTTGAAAATTGGGTGACAGTTTTTAGTTCAGATGCCTGGAACTGAAAATCATGTTTAATTCTTTTGAGTGAAACTACTGTGATGAAAAAAACAAACAAACAGACAAACATGAATCTGGATCTGCACCAAACCACATCTGGGACACGGGCTGCATATTATTAAATTATTTTCAGTTAAATTTTTCATCTGCTTTAGCGACTTTAGCTGCGAACAGAGTCAAAACTCACAGTGTTTGAGCTCCCAGGACAGCAGACTCCACACGATGACAATGTTACCAGCACAGCCACAGCTAAAGCAACCATCTGGGGAAAACAACAGTTGTACAATCATTATGTAAATCCTGACATTTTACTGGGGCTGAGGCACGAGTCTCTGGACAAAAGGATTTTCTGTGTGAATGTGCATCTTACAGGGCCGGAGATGAGAGAAAGTACAATAAAATAATAAAAGTAAATCATACAATAAAGTATATTCACTACAGCTAATAACAAATTGCCATGTGTACTGATGTAAGTATTGAAGTTATGTTACTGATAACTGATAATTATGGGTCATATTCTTTGCATTAGTGGGAAATTAGTGGTGATTTTTTGGATATGGATAAGATTTGATAACTTCTATAACTCAGTAAAGTAGTGTATTATTCTGAAATTTTAATGTTTATTTATTGCAGCTTTTTAAAAATTATTATTATTATTTTTTTTAAACCATATTGTAGATTTAGAATAGCCTTCGTGGCTTAAATTTGCTTTTTTTTTTTTTTTTTTTTTTTTTTTTTTACCATATTGTAGATTTAGAATAGCTTTTGTGGTTTAAATCTGCTCTTGTTTTTTTTTTTTTTTTTTTTGTCAGTAGCATAAATTTGTTTCAATATTATCATGTATCGTCTATATTAACTTCAGCAATATATTGAACTTCAAAATTTGTTATAATTAGTCACCGTGGCAACAGTCCCAGTTTTTCATCGTTCTGAAAAGTATGGACAGAAAGCTAATAGAATTTTCTGTTAGTGTATACTCTACTGCATAACTCCACAGAGAAAGTTAAAACTAACTTTGGAAGCTTCTCTGTGGAGGTAAATCACTTTTATGCCATACTGTGGAATATTCCAAATAAACAAAATTTAGGTCTGTGGAGAGACGCCCAACAGCAAAGTGCAACACAATGAAGTAAATGCCTTTATTTCAGTCTATTATTTTAGCTGGGAGCAGGTGGGGCTTTGAAATAGAATCATTATAATTTGCTTTTGTTTCTCCCACTACAACATCTGTCTGGTCTAATGTTACCATGACAACTTTTACACATACTTGTAGTAGTAGTGGTATCTTTTTTTTTTTTTTTTTTTTTTTTTTTTTTTACTTTTAAGCAGCGGTGGAAGGTAACAAAGTACAAGTAGTAAAATACTGAACTTAAGTAAAGTTTTTAGGTTTCTGTACTTAAGTACATTTTAAAGTAGATACTTTTTACTTTTACTTCACTGCATTTGAGAGCAGGTGTCTGTACTTTCTACTGCACTACATTTTTGAATGGGACTGAAAAGAACTTTTTATATAATTTAAGAGGTTATTTTTACCATGTTTGTGGTGACATCCTATGACGAAAGTTCAGATTTTAGCAAACAAAAACTAAATACACAAAATTTATAAGAAAATTAAGAAATGGATTCATATCGCAAATGTTTATAAAAATCTGTATAATTTTTAATCAATATCACTACAATTAACACTTTATCAAATTAACACTTTGTCAAAATATGTGTGAAATACTTCTACTTTTTACTCTAAAAATAAATTTTTAAAAGGGTACTTTAATTGAGGTTGATTTTTCATGTGATATTTTTACTTGAGTAACTTTTTGCCTCTGTATCTGTAATTTTACTTAAGTAACAAAACTGAGTACTCCATCCACTGTTGCTTTTAAATTTTATATCAAATTAATGGGCCCATTTTCTCCTTGAAATGTTTAAATGTTTAAAACAAAATACAGTCTAGTTGAGTATACATATTCCATTATGTAGTCCTGCTGTTAGGTGATGTTAAATATGATCATACACAAAACTGCAGGTTTACCTTATTATCCACATGCATCTTTCGTCTGCTTCCTCACACCAGTCCCACGGGTGTCCTCCAACAGAAAGACATAAAATAAGCCTTCACAACCCTTTCACTCAAACTTGATAGGCTGCCAAAGTTATTCTCACCATTTCGTCAGCAAGGAGGGAAATCTAACAGTTGACCAAAGTCGTCTCTGTAAGACCAGTCAGCAACACTATAAAGCACAACATAAGGGAAATACAGGCTTCAGTTTAACAGAAGCTGTCCCACTCTGCAAAAGTGTTACTTTTCACAGGCGCCCTGCTAACGTAGACATTAAAATATTACAGAATTGGCACATTTTCTATCTGTGTGGTCAGTAGTTGAAGGAACTCGATAGATAATCTTTTATAATTTTTTTCCCTTTATAATTGTTCACAGTTAGAGGCTGAAAATATACTAAATAAGTACTATTAATAAAACAATGTCATCCATTTTCTTCTGTTTTATCTGGGACCAGGTTGCAGAGACAGTACAAGCAGAGAGGCCCAGACTTCCCTTTCCACACTGTAAGTATAAAAGTACAATGGTCACAATAAAGTCATCTACATCCTTGTGAAACATACACCAGTGTGCTCAGGTATGTGAATTAAATCGTGTTTCTCAATATTTCAATAATAGCATGTACAGGAATCACTGGGAGATAGCATTAAAGCTGCACTATATAGTTTTCAGGTAGAAGGATCCGCCACCTGTTTGTCTCCATCGAGATATTATTGCTTTGAATTGATGAGTTTAAGGAGCCCATGTTACGGTATTTTCTGATCTATATTATAATGTTGTTCTCTCATCACAAACAGACATGAAGTTGTGTTTGTTTCATTCACATGTTTATCAAAAAAAACACCAAAAAACAACTGCATATTTAATAATAATAATAATACATCAGACTTATTTAGCGCTTTTTTGGACACTCAAAAATGCTTTACAAACAAATTAAAAGTGACACGTAGAAAATGGGGGGAATCATGAGGGAATGCCAGATTGAACAGGTGACTTTTAGTAGCGATTTGAAGTGCCGCAGTGAGTCCGATATTTATGCTTTCTTCTCTCAAATGGAAAACACTCTGCTGTTCCACTTTGTGAAACTATGTGGCAATACAAGGAGTGCTCCATTGTCTGCATACACCTTCAGTAGAATAATTTAACTGATTTCAACCCTGAAACTGCCTTTCTCTACTGAACGTAAGATAGAAGGTAGTTGTTAACTTAAAAATACTGCTTCATGACATCACAAGGTGGATCAGAGAATTTTGAGCTTTAGAGATGTAGACAAAGTAATAATAAAGGATTACTCAAATGTGTGTGAATGACACAAAACACAACTCTGGGTATGTTTTTGATGAGGGAACAGCATTATAACATGGCTTAAAACTCAGAAAAATCCATTGTGTGTAATATAGGACCTTTAAGCTTGTATTTATTTATTTATCTTATTTATTTATCTTTGAAAACCTCTACACTTTCTTTACATATCAGACAAACTGCACGCTCATTACACTAAACACAAAAAATAATCAGTTGTCCACTGTTCTTTGAAAACTCTGCACTCTCTGTGAACTTTTCATACTTTAAAACTCATCATCATCATTTTGCTGTCCTTAACTACACTACAGAACTCTGCACTTGCGTCGACTGTCACAGTTTGATCTCGAGTTTGTCAGAGGTGACGAAAATTTGGCGGCAAATGTAAATATGTCATAATAATGTCATTATTTTTTAAATATAAATACTTAAATTTTTTTATTGAAAATGAAAAATCACCAAAATACAACATGCAGACATGTTATTATTTGCCAAAAAGTAAAAAAAAAAAAAAAAAAAAGGCCATGACAACTTTTGAGTATTGACTCACAGGGCCAGTTCAAGGCGTGGGGGGCAGAGGGGCTGGGGGGCTGGTCAAAGGAGCGTGGAGGGCCGGAGTTGGCCTTAAGTTTGCTGACCCCTGCTGTAAGGCCTTTATGAGCGTTCTCTTCAGAGCAGGAGTGTGCTTCTCTCAGAGTGACCACTAGAGGACAACAGTGTCAGTTCTCTTCATATTGTATCCATGTTGAATCCTGCGTTCAGTGTGTTTGAGTGTATCCTGATGACTGACAACACAGGAGGAAAACGTGCTATATAAACTGTCAGCAAATGTACAAGCTACAATTTACTTTCCAGGAAACCATTTAGACGTCAACAATAGAGAGGTAATTGAAAATACTTGGCGAGGTACCATGACTTTTTGTTGACAGGCTGACAAGCTGTTTTGCCCTGATATGTAACTTATAGTGATCTTATAGTCAGTCACTAGCACTATAACACACAGCTCTCATCAAATGTTTACAAATACTACAGGTCCATGCATGAGTCTGGATTGTTTGTGTGGCCCAGTTTGGCAGTTATTGTTATGAAAGAGCTTTTATCAGGTGTGTGCTGGGACAAGATAAGCCTAAGGGCCCACACAAGTTTCCATTGGACAGTGTTTGTCTGCGGTGAGGACTACAGCTGCTCCAGACCCACATAGTGAAATGATGATGAGAAACTGAAGCGTGCTTGAAATGAGATCTGCATGAGAGCAATCTGTACGTCAACAAGCACAAAAGGGCACATTGGCTATAGAAATAGCCTGGTTAATAATAGCACCATCTTTGAATGTAATGAACACTACCGACAGTCCAAGCTGAGATATAAATGGAACTAATATTTTGACTTCATAGACAATTTAACATGGGCACGTTTCTCCCACATGTACTAGTATAAAGACTTAAATGAGAAGTGTTAAGGTTAAACAGAAGTTTTACATTTATAGCTATATAGAGTAATATGATTCACTATGGTTGTCAATTAAAGCAGGGGTGTCAAACTCAAACTCACAGAGGTCAAAATGAAAAACTGGCACTAACTCATGGGCCAAACAAAATATTTATTGAAAAATTTCAACAACATCTGCAAGTTTTCTCTTCTTTCGAGATATGTAATATTAAACCTTTTCTTATTAAAATAAATGTTTAATAATAGTTTTGCTTAAACATTGATAACAACATTACAAATAAATAATGTCTCTATAGTCTATCTGCAGCCAGCGGGTCAGCTCCAATACATATTTTATATGATCTCGAGGGCCAAATATAATTATATCGTGGGCCAAATTTGGCTCCCGGGCCTGAGTTTGAATGTCTAAATTAAAGCAACCAAGATAGTATAAAGATTGTTTTATTATTATAATAGTGTGTGTGTGTTGTGTATATTCTGAAAAATATAATTCAAATCTTGATATGTTCCCTAATTTTCTTTAAAAAATGTTTAATATTGGTGTTTTTATGCAATAAAAAATCTTTCAGAATTCTGGATGATTTTTATTGTGCATGTACGCAATCATCAGATCTTATTATTTAGTTCCATGATGACACCAGTTATCTGATTGTGTGAACATTTAAAAGCACTTAATATATTATATTTAAATCCCCCTATGAGTATTTATATATTAAAAAAAACAAAAAAAAAAACAAAAACAAAACCAGCTGCTACCTTATTAGCTTGGCACATTAGTTGAACTGTGTGGCTTTACCCTTTTGTACCTGGCCTGAGGAAACCCAGTGAAGTGGAACCTTCTCTTGGCATTACTGTCTCTGTGTCCACTGCTGCCTCAGGGTCTGGCACCAAAATGGCTGCCGGGGAGGGTTACTTCCCCTTAATATCATGTTTAAAATAGACACAGCCCCAATGAAGTAAAGGTCTCTTGTCATCTCATTTAACTACACCTTGTGACCTCTGTGACTAAGGCATAAAGACTAAACCTCAGACTGTATAAAGAAGTGACATGACCCAAAGCAGTCAAATGAAGCTCACGAGGATCGAAGTTATAGCCGCAAATTTGGGGCCAGGTCCATATTAGGAAGTACAAAATAGCGAAATAAAAACACCAGGATCATGTAGAGTGGGTTAATATGAACATTTTAAGAGCTCACTGCCGCAGTTACAGAGAGAGAGGTGATCATTTTCCAAGGTAAATGTCAATTGGACACAGTCGATGGAGCCAGAAGCACCCCCATGGTCACTTCCTATTTGGAACATGGCAGCTGCCAGGTTAGCTATGTCTATTTATATACAGTCTATGGAATAAAACAGTTACTTAGTGAAAAGAAAACACCACAAGAACAAAATAGTGTACTTGATCTTTTATGTTATTGCTTGTATGTATTTACAAACATCCCCATCTCCTTTGTACTTTGTAAAAAATAACAATTCACAACCGAAATGAAAAAATAATGATGATACATGTGGATTTCAACACTATGGACCCAGCTTCTTTAAACAGCACCGCGTTACAAACCTCAACTGGCCTCTCTTCATCACAAACACATTATTATGAACTTGGACATGACCTGCGCCCCCTGTAGGCCGGAACACACACGCTCGCATTGAACCTTGCCAAAACAAATCGTGATAACAAACTTTGGTTAAAACACAGCTGGTAAATTGGGCCCCATAATCTGTCAGTTCGATCAAACGCTTTAATGTTTTTATTTCATCTGTTACTTTATGCAAATCGATGCATACGTGTCGTAGAGGATTATTTTAGCTTTATTTTAAAACACTGACTATAATCAGTGTGGCTACATTTTTACTATAGACATTTATTTACATGCAAGAAAAACTTCAGTTTAATTTAATATTACAGACAATACATTCAATCACAGTACTCCAGTAGAAAGTGTGCATTAGATATTTTTCAAGTACTTAAATATTTTGGGGTGTTTTGATAAGGCTAGTGGCTTTCATAACATACCAAAGCGCTCTATACCCTTTCAGCTTATACAAGAAATATATGACAAAAATAATATCCTATACTCAATTTACAGTAAAATTATGAACAATTCAAAATCATGTGGTACTTATATAAGATGGAAATACTAGATTTTCTTAATTGTAGTATTTGCTCTCCCATAATAACACCAACTTGTCCAGACTGGCCCGCCCCAGCCTCTGCGTCTCAGACAAATTCAAGCTGCCCCCATTAAGACCCATGTAAAAGCTTAGAAATGCTTGCAGATCTGTTTCTTTTTTGTATGCTGTTAGAAAGAACTCTTAACACAATACAATGGCACGATATAAAACCACCACACATAAATATGGGTGTACAATCTTGTGGTAATGGTGTGTGACTGGGCCTTTCTTTTTGCCTTGCCAAACGTTTTGACTGGCAGGTGAAATGGAAACATGATTCAGGATTGAAAGCATCAGAGCCCCCGCAGTTGCTTATTTGGCCACCTTAAAGTTGCTCAGGTCCAGCGGCTCTTTGCTGGGCACGCACCAGTCGTCCGCCTCCTGACTGACTTTATAGTTCCTCAGAGCCGTCTTGTTGTAAACAGGCAGCCGCTCCACTGAGTCTGTAGACAGGGCCTGCATGGAAAAGTAGTTTTAGGGTAAATAATGTGTGACATGTATGTGATAATATTGGCTGTTTTCATTTTCTTAAGGAGGTCTGAGTTCATGACCTTAAAGCCACCTTGTTATGAGGTATATATTAGGCCACTGAGTGGTTAAGTCATATTATTGTATACGTTTAATGTGGTATGTACAGATGGGCACTAATCTTTTCTTTTTTTTGTTCTGGATCTGTTATGTTTGTTTGTATATTGTTTATTTGTTATGCCAAAAAACTAACATATGGCAGCAAAAAAGGAAGTTTTGTCCTTCTAGTCTACTTCAAGTCTAAGTTTAGTCCCGATTTTGATATGGCGTGTGTGCATGTGCAACCTTATTGTATAGTTTATGCTCTAGACAAGATAATTTTGTCTTAAACTGCATTAGGGAAGAGAGTTTTACTGGTAGTTTGGTCCACATCATCTAAATATATAATTGCATACAGGACTGCAAAAGATGAAATACCCTGTCCACAAATGCCACCCTGGTCAGAGCTCTATGGTGGTGTTTGCTGTTTAACTGTCAGATCACAGATTTGTTGCCCTTGTTTATGGTTAATATCTCTGTAATTACTGGCCCTATCTACATAAAACAAAACTGGAGCACCGTTAGTGTCTCCCCTGTCACTATAAACAAACAAGTGATTTTTTTCACAGTAGATTCAGAGAGTGGTGCCAATATTCAACCCCAAAGATTTGTTGTAAGATGAAAGGAGCCATGAGTTTAATATGGTAAATTATAACAACAGTGATTGGGTTCAACATCTGTGGATCAAACATTCTGATATTTTCCTCCAAAAACACAAAACCTAAAAGGCCAAAGGTCCCTGCCCTCCACCTAAAATTTAGTTAGTCTGCCTCATAGAATAATTGCCTAGGTCATTTTTTAAGATTAAATTTTCATACAAATAGTAGAATATTTTTATTCTGCAGTCCTGGTGACTTCTATTTGAGTTGTCAACAAAAATGTAGGGTTAAAAACATGCAGTCATATTATATAACAGGAAAATGGACATAGTCTTTCACACCTACAGATGCAGCAGGATCTGGATTGTGAAATAAGACAAATAACTCAATTTGGCCAAAAGATCACTTGGCAATTATGCTATGAGGTCTAACTTTATCTCAATCTCCTGGTGGCTCCACTGGCTCCGTTGTCACTGAGTAAGTTCACTTTTGGAGACTGGCCAAGCTCCAGTCTGGCTCACCTTCAGGTAGACGACAGCGTCAGTGCCATGGCCCTCCATAGAGTAAAGCTGCAGGTCCCCCTGGAAATACTTGGCATAGAGTCGAGAGATGGGGAGTCCATAGCCAAACCCAGCCTGAGCAGAGAGAGATCAAGGATTTAGAGACACTTTGTACAAGGAAGAGACACAGAGGAGCTGCAGTCATCCTCGAAAAATGGACACTTTTTGTGATTTAGTGCTTAGGGAGCAGTTTAGTTCATCTGGAGAAAAGAAGAGGTTATTCATCTTTATATAGCAGCTCTGAGTTCAGAGCAACAGTGCATTAGTAGAACAGAATACAATGAAAGAAAACTGAAGAAAAAATCTGAGAAACAAAAGTAAGTTTTGAAATCTGAGCATGTAAAGTTTTAACTGGCAAGGCACACCTCATAACTGCCAAATAATTGCAACCATAACTGTTATTACTCCAACTTAACTAATGCTACAAATATTACAAATACTCCTTTGCACCTGTTGCCAAAAAATTATCAACTGTAACTATTCAAATCATGATTTTATTTCCTTTGTAGTAGAAGAACAGAATGGATTGGCTTATGGTCAGTTTTCTTAATCATATATTATATATATATATATATATATATAAATATTATATATAATATATATATAATATATATATAATATATATATATATATATATATATATATATATAATATATATATATATATATATATATATATTTTTTTTTTTTTTTTTTTTTTTCATGTATATAAAACTGAAAATATAACATAATATAAAACACAGAATAAAAGCAACCCAAAAGAAAAGATTTAAGATTTAAAGCAAAACCTGTTACATTTTGAACAGAGCTACAGGTCTCTTCAGGCCAGAACCGCTGTAACCATCAGAACCAGACAATCAGACTCTTCAGTGATCACCGACTCCCTCTCCCCCATGACACCTGCCATGACACCTGCCATGACACCTGCCATGACACTGCCATGACACCTGCCATGACACCTGCCATGACACCTGCCATGACACCTGCCATGACACCTGCCATGACACCTGCCATGACACCTGCCATGACACCTGCCATGACTGAGCTGGACTCTGCACTGATGCCCCTTATATTGTATCTACCTCTAACTTCATGTTGTTGTATTACTGCTGTAAGTACCTCAGTAGTGTATAAGTTTACATTCTACTATTTTCACTTTACGAATTTCACTGATACTGTTTAATGCTCTAAATGTAATTTCTGTGTTATTTGTGCCAATGATAATAAATCCTTCTATCCTTGAAATGTAAACCAAAACTATGCCACCTCTCCAACACTCAACATTGTCAGCATAAATCACACAAAACACTCTGCACTATGCTTTCTTTAAGCTTTCATCTAACATTTTCACATTGTATTCATTTTCATACAAGCTTGCATAGCTGACTGAAGCTCGCGTTACTATACTGACCAGTGGCGGGCGTGAGTGGTCTCCCATCTGTGGTGCAGGAGCTGTGGAGTACATGTAGCTGAAAAGGTTCTCGATTCTGCGAAATGGGACACCGCCTCCCTGGTCGCTCACCTAGTGGAAAAAGTAGGAATTGGTTAGTTAGCCTCAATGACCCCTTGACTCTGTGTGGCCCTGTTTATATTTGGAATTGGGTCACAGAAATAAGTTTAAACACGTGATAGGTACTTTTTCTGGTGGAGAGTCCCCCACACTGTTTGTCTGAATGGAGATGTTTTTGCTTTGCTTGAAATGTTCCACGGTGTGCCATTTCATTATCGCTTATCTTACTGTAAACTCTTCTTCACAGAAGTCCCCTCTCCACAAACCTGACCTGTAAATTGGCCCAGTGGGGCCATCTGATAGTCTCCATTAAGATGCCAAGTTTAATGCCATACTTTGGAATATTCTAGCCAAGGCAATAACATCTCTATAGGGAAAAGCAGCTGGTGGACCCTCTGTCAAAAAGATTAAATAATGCACCTTAAAATCTTGTAATGATTACAGTAAATTAATACATGAATGACTGGATGAATAAAGCCTTATGGTAAAAACAAAGGTGTGTATATCAGTTTAACAAGGCTGACTAGGTTTGTTTACTAGGCATCGTGCCGAAATTATGATTAAGACCTTATGTAACATGTTTGGTGAGTGATTAGGTGGTGACTTGTGGTACTGTTGGCATAAAAAATATTTTGGGTGTTTGATAAAAAGCATTTTATGAGCTACATTATGTCCTGTCAACCTGACATACTGTACTAGTACTTCTACACAGGAAATAATTGCACGCCCACATTACTGTTTTTTTTACACCATTAATCCTGTAATTAACCTACTTTTAAGAATAAACACATTGCATTACATTGTGATCCTATTGGGAAGTAAACAGAAGCTTTAAAGCACTGAGAAAAACTTTAAAATCCAAATGTATAGAAATTTTCTGAAAAAAAATAAAAAATAAAAATACAAACATCAAGTATCACCAGATCTAAATCAAGTAAACAACAGAACAATTCCAGGTCTAATCTATGGCTAAATCATGTCAAAATTGGACTACATAATTTCCACCATAATGCTAAGAAATTATTCAAAGGAGGACAAAAAATGTATAAAAAAGCAACTAACAAATCTGAAGTATCACCTGAACCGTGCACATACCACAGTTTGAGAAACACTGATCTAAATAACCAAATCTAACCACATTAATTATAAATATAATTAACCACAAAAAAGCAGTACAAAATGTTTTGGACAGTGTGTTTGAATATTCAAGAAATGCAACATGACACACCTAAGTCTGGCTGCTCTCAACTGTATATACTGTACAGTTACATAACACTTCAAGGAACTGCAGCCATAAAGAGGGGAAGAGAAAGGCCCTCCATGTACGGGCTGAACTTTGGAAGGGGAGTTACGTATGTTGTGTCTGCGTGACTTTACAATTCAACAACTTGATATTAGAGCTCTGAATCACAAGGTCCCTCACAATTTAATGCAATACTTGATACATGGCTCGCGATAGAATGATATCATATATTGCACTTGATATGTTTTAAGAATCAAATACATTTTAGTTACAATAGTTCTTTGTTAAACCAGTACCTGTGCAAAGTTAATATGAAACACATCTATTGTCAGCAGTGAATCCACTAAATAAGCAACAAAATTATAGTGTGATCACAAAAAAAAGGTTGAGGAACCAAAAAATACTCTTGACGATATATCAATACATCAGCCCATGATATCCATACTGTATCACCAAATTTAGTATTACGATATATCGATATGTATTTTGATATTTTTGCACACCCAAGAAAACAAGCAAAACTGAATGACCAACCTTAATGGACATATCCTCTCCCCCGAGTGACACGAGGACTCCTATGGGTGGGAGCTCGTAGCTGGCTTCATGTTTCTCTATTGTTGCACGCATTGCATTCTACAAATACAGAGAAAAGGGTGAGACATTTTGAAAATAAAATATTACAAAACTTTTACGTAAAGGCCCTGTAACTGATTTTTCACAATTATTTGAGCTGAATTTGTCTTGTACATATTGTATAAGCAGCTCTTGAAGTCAAATATGTCTGCATCTAATTATAAAAGTCATTGTGCACTAACATGCTTTTTGTTGGACAGTAAAACAGCTTAATTATTTTCTTTTAATATAACTGAAATAACAACTTGACACAGAATACAGAATAAAAAACAGTGAGAATTCAAAAGAGAAACAACTTAAAGTGAATGATCAGGATGTTCTGAATGCTGTGAGGAATAACTTTGGCCATGGCAAACAGTTTAAAATTAACTAGTACTGTTTTACAGATTTAAAAATGGTAAAAATCAGGTACAGCACATTCCATGTTAATAAATCCTACCTTGAAAAGCTCAAACAGCATATGATACAGATGAGAAGGCACATACACAATGTTGATAGGCTGGGTTTTGTCCTTGCCTGCATAATGACAAAAACGTATTGTATCACCACTTCATTTAAAACCCATCACCTATTATAAGTGCTGTTTTTCTCCCATCTCCAATAATTAGACTTTGCTCTGGTTGTGCACTTTAAGAGGATGGAAACAGTGTGTCAATATTGTCAGACGCAGTGAGCCGGACCCACTTAGCTGTTACTTCAGCTTCAGTGCTATAATTATCGACCCCTCAAGTCCATCTGGCTGAATGCTTATTTTCATAAAAACACATAGTCCATACACACACAGAGGGGTTAACAGTGACGGAAGCGTACCATCTGTACCAACAGGGGCTGTGCTGTTGGCAATGCAAGTTAAGTGGCATGGTAAATAAATTCAATTGTGTTCTTACTGTTTCGCTCTTGCAGGACCATCTCAGGAGAGCGGAGATAATACTGGTCACACAGCATCTTGGCACTATGAAAGGCATCTGTAATAAAAAAAAAAAAAACAAACCCAATTATACTGCGAGCTGTGGTACTTTTAAAATGGCTTTAAATGTCCTATAATACACAACACTGACTATTAACAGCTCCATTTAACCTTTACACTTTAAATTAGTTTGTGTACAAATTGTGCTATACAAATAAACTTGTCTTCCCATGCCTAGTTAAGTCAAGATTGGAACTTCCAATTGGAAAGTCCTGAAATCTTTCAAATTACTGAAGTGAAGGTGTATGGAGTTTAAAAACACAGTGGAGAACTTCCTGTATTTCCACAAGACATCACAAGGTGGAACAGGGTATTTTCATTTTGAGAGAAGAACTCAGCCTAAATATACAGGGTTTGTGTGTTAAACATGTGTGAATGAAACAAAACACAACTCTGGGTATGTTTGTGATGAGATAACATTATACCATAGATCAGAAAATAATGTAATATGAAAACTGACTTGTCACAAGAAATAATCAAATTGTCCCCGTTCTAGTCTGAACTCCAGACTGTTCCAAACAAACCGCATTAGACCTCCCAATTACCAACCCCCAAGCTGAACATGGACAATTTGAATCAATTACATCTCGAATATAATAAAATCTTTGGTTGACTTAAATGACGGTCAATAGTGGGGACAATGTTTGCATATTTCCCTTATTTAACACTCTAATACTCTCTAATAGATGTGATTTGAATAAATATTTTTAAAAATAGTGTCTTCTTATGATATTCATACTAACCTTGAACAACGTCTGTAACTCTGCAGTGGGGGTCTATGCTTCCAATAGTGTTTGGATGGACTGGGTTTGTGTTGCCGTCAAATATAAGAGCTGAAAAAGAGAAAAACAAGCAAGGAAGTAGGTTAGTTTATTTCAAATTTATTTGTTTGGAGCATAAGCCCCTTGAGATGTCTCGCTATCTCGTTTTCAATAGGGCATCAAAATCACACCAACAAAGAAGACAGATATAGTAGAGCAGACAGTAGGCCACATAAATTCTAAATAATGATAATTATTGATTCTTAAAATCAATTATAAATCAAAATTCAGCACTACTCCAAAATGTACAACTACAATAGCATGACAAGACAAAGATTATTTTAAAATTTTGCAAGATGACTTGGTTTTATTTTTCCAGTGGGTGTCAAAAATGTATTCATGAGAGAAATTCATGAGAGAAAGCAAAAATGACTAGGTAATAGTCTGGTATTAATAAATTGATATTATCCAATTTCACATGCTCAAACCCTGACTTTGCTAGGCTGTGAAAAAGCAGTGAAGGCCACTCACTGTGCTGGTTGATAAGCATTCGTATGGAGATGCGGCTCATGTAGAAGCGGTCTAGAAAATACTGGATGTTTTGGTTGGTCACTGGGTCCTGGGAGAAAGACTCTTTGTATTCGAGGATTCCCTGAGCCATAGTCGGCACCACGTCATTATGTCGATTCCTGATGGTCACTAAAGCGTCCACAAACCTGCAGGAAACAGCAGAGATTGGCAATTGGGATAAATTAGAGAAAACCTCTCTTGCCGCTCCAAAAATTCCTCCTTCAAAAACACTACACACATTTTCTAATCACCTCTATGTGCTACAATTCCCTAATAATATATAATATATATAAAAAATAATAATATTTTATACCATGTTCTTCCTGCACAGTGCATCTCAATCAAATCATTATCGGTATTTGAGTTGGTGCAATTATCATACCTCAAAGGCTACAATTATTTGATTAACAGACTGTCCTCTGCAAAGAACAAAACATCCTTTCTTTTAATAGATACATACTGTAACTGCAATAATCAATTGTGGTTGGTTAGTGGACAAATGTTAGGCAACAAAAAAACAAAAGGTGACGCAACCAAATGTGAAACTGATTTGGTTGGTAACATTTGCTAACATGATTTAACACTAAGGTAGACTACATGATTACAAAATATTTAATAATTATAGCCTAATGAATCTAGCTTAGTGTGCAAGTCCTAAGTGTGGATCTATTCCAAGACTCACAATACAACTTTGCTGGGAGGTGCTTAAATTTGCTGCTAGACCTGTCATGATAACAAATTTTGAAGTACGATATATTGCTGAAGTGAATAAACGAAAAACAATAAAACCAAAACCAAACCATAAAGCAGAATTATCCACAAAATTCTAAATGTACAATATAGTTAAAAAAATATGAGCTGCAATAAATAAATAGCAGAATGAAACTACTTTAGTACTTAGATTGTATAGTTTTTAATTCTTAATTCAAACTTCTACAGCTCAAATCTTATCATATTGCAGAAAAAATAACCAAAAACTCCCACTAGGACCAAGAAAAAAGTACTGCAAATAAGTAAGTATTGTTCAGTCCGTCATATATTGAATGACAGATCAATATAGTATTTATGATGACAAGCCTACTAGGTGCAGGAAGTAAAAAGGAACAAATATGTCCTCAGTAACCTTAGAGCAAATATTGAACACAGCCCTGTCTTCCTGACCTGACTCATAGCTCAGGCCACGATATGGACGCACATGACGGAAAACAGATCTCTGCTATGTTTGGAATCATGCCTAGGTATATTTCAGTCACGTGAAGAGTGGTGTCAGTAAACAACATTATAAGGTTATGACTGAATTGGTATATATGTCAAATCTACTCACTCGCCCAAAGTTTTGTGATCGTCTGGATTCCTATCTAGGAATTCGAGGATCTCCATCAAACTCTGCACATACCTGTAAACAGACACAAATATATAATACAAGTAAAAATAATAGATAAGATAACATTTGCTCTATTGGTCTCTTTTATCATTTTATTTATTTATTAAAGGGCCAATCCATATCAAAACTATTATCTTTAGTCCCGCAACAGATGTTAATGTTGGCCTAAAACCAAAAATGGATCAAATGTAACAGTTTTTAATTAGCACATATTTGCACTATCTACAGTACAAGGCATAGACACAGTAACCAACAACAAAGACAGAAATCTTAGAAGAACTACTCACGCACAACAGTCTCACATGCGCACACACACACACACACACACACACACACACACACACACACACACACACACACACACACACACACACACACACACACACACACACACACACACACACACACACACACACACACACACACACACACACACACACACACACACACACACACACACACACACACACACACACACACACACAAAAACACCAATACCACTACTAACTAAACTTGATGTTCCAATGGCCATAAAATATTAAAGATTCCTTATATCACAGAGAGTCCTTTTGGGAATATTGCTGACTTGTAGAATCTGACAACCTAGATCAAGGAGCTCATGGTACTTTCAGACTAAATAACTGTCTTGAGAACCAACACACAAAATGTAAACATAGACACCATACAAAGTTTTTTTTTATAATTGAGAATAAATTATAAATCAGTTATAGAATCTGTTACAGGGGTTTTAAGTAAAATCAATATTTGTCTTTTCCAGCTACAAGGTACTCAAGATACTTTATCACAGAACCATCCATTTACATAAAGGAACCACCCACTCACACAAATTCACACACACACAACGACAGCATTCATCTGTGGGAGCTGGAACCGCACCACAAATCTGACCACACTACCAGTGATGTTTATGTCAAGAGCAGGATTCCAAATGCACACCTTCAGATCATTGGACCCTATCAAATGAGCTACGCCAACAATTCATGTCTAATTCATAGGGGGAATAGATAAAAAGTAAAAGTAAAAAGTAATTTACTATCTTTAAAAAAGGCCCACTTCATATTCGACAATATGTAAAATATTTTGGTAACTAACACATACAACTAAAACAAGCACATAGAATAACTAGTCCAAATTCTCAGGTACCACAAAGGAAAGGAAAAAGGCTTGTTGACAACTGGTCACGTGATACAGTCAGAGAAACTAGGGCAAAGTTGAGAGTGAAAAACCCCTCCCATTTCAGCGCAGCCTGGAAGAGGTACAACTTGGTCAGAGGGTCTTTGTAATTCAACTCACAGTGATCCCTTTTGTGGAAATAAACGTGTGCCTCTTATATTGCACTGCAGTAAACAAGACACCAGCTGCTCCCTTCTCAACAGAGAGGATAAAATCAGGGTTTAGAATAGGATATTAGTAAACACTTTGGCCCTTTCATCTGGGGGTTAGCTTTCAGTTATTTGAACTACAACAAATGGTAGCATACTAGGGCACATGACTTTGAACTTACCAGCCCTGGACCATTTTGACAGAGGGGGTTGTGAGAAGTTTATCAGGTAAAAGGTTGATTTCCTTCATTATGTTGGATAGTCTAACAGGGAGCTCTTGCCTTAGAAAAACAAATGATGTCTTTTCACAAGCATTGATGGAACCTGCACAAAAAAGCAATAATTATTATAAGCATTTCCAGATAGACAAAAACAGATTTGAAGCACAATATATTGCTATAGAGATATATTGCAATAAAAGATCATATTGAAACTGTTTTATGCCACTGATATAATTCAAATCAAGCAAAAATAGTCCCAATAAAACAAAATAAATGCATTCATATTTATATTATATCCCAATAAAACGAATTAATATATATTTATATTAATATTTATATCCCAATAAAACTAAATTAATAAATGAAATAGCCAAGAGCTGCAACAAATACTTGAATGAACCAATAATTAGCCAAAGAAGTGACTTACAGCACAAATCTTGGCATATTACAACAAAAACAACAAAAATACCCACGATATATACTGATCCCCAAAATATACTGTTCCATCTATTGATAAGTAAATATATAGCAATTGTGACAGACCTATTTCCAGATGTGTCCTTCTTATCAGAAACATAATACATAATTTCTACAATGTGATGTGTGTGTATACATATTTATCTCACATATGTCACGTATGTTATCTTTTGTTGGACCTAGACAGCTGCAGCAGCGCTGATGCAACATCACTGCACATTGACCATTTAGCTAAAAGCAAAGCCCGCCTAGCAAGCATATTCTGGCCCAATCTGGCAAGGACACACAATAAACAAGGGTATAATGAATGGCTTACGGTGCAATAAAGCTACAGTGAAATGATAAAGTGTAATATTCCTCTAGATCTCGCATATCCAAAACAGCATGACCAAGTGGCTGCTCGATGAGTCTGAGGCTGCTACTTACCGAAATCCAAAAATTGCTTCATGGACAACGGCGAGGGAGAAAATTTGGAGAAGTGTTCAATATGCTTTGGCACGCTCGTCAAAGCGGCGTTTTTCATAATAAACCGTACGAACTTCATTTTGCTCGTATTCGTGGCTTCATAACACAGGAGTGAGAGGTTGAATGCTGCTTACTTTGTCTGCTAGTTTTCACTGAGGGGCTGCACAAGAGGGAGGGAAGGAGTGTGCAGCAGCAGCCAATAGGAAGCCCGGATTTGTTGTTTATCACTAAAATTGACCAATAGAAAGTGTCGAGAGGCGGGACTATGTGTTGACGCCTAAAAACGCCTCTCACATACTAGACTTGCAGCAACTAGACCTGCTACACATGTGAAAAAGAACAACACAACTATAAATACATAAAAGGTTTACCTGACCCAGCGTAATTTTACAGTTTGTACATTTTATTTTTCTATACTCAAGAACAATTTAAATAACCCTGTACTGTGCTTATGCCCACTGGATAAAATATTGAAAATTAAATTTAAGATATAAAAGTGTACTATGTAACTTTTTGGTTGGGGGTCCATCACCTGCTTGTTTCAGTGGATATGTCTCCTCAGAATGTTCAACAATATGACATTAAATCGCTCTACCTTACATTTATTACATTTTATAGTTTTATAGCTCAGAAATACCTAGAAAAACAGGAAGTGGGGCTGCCTCTCCACATATCTGACCTGTAACTTGGTGTGTTTGGGCATCACGAAAACAGAAAGATTTACCGTGAAACATTCCAGGCAAAGCATAAAAAAAGATATACAATGTACCTTTAATTTTGAAATGGACAAAACATTGCACATTTTGTGAGTAGACCTAATAATAATCATATTAACAAGATTTCTGTTCGTTGTACTTGGCAATGAAGTAGCCTATGCAACATATAGACCTAGGCATTGTAGTATCCTAGGTATTCCAATACTCCCCTTACATCACTACTTATTTATCTATTCTTGTGCTGGTGGTCATCAGTTCAGCTGTTTGCATATGATTGCCTAGAAACCATCCCTTCACTAGTCAGGTTTAAACTGTAAATACCATTGTCAGGGTACACACTGTCCTGGTCAACATCACATCATTACATAAGCTTTGGGTATTTGTCATCACAGTTAGGATGGCCTAAAGCTATTGTAAATACACTTGACATACTGACTAACACAAGAAAGGTATAACAGGTAAACAGTTGATTATTCACAGGAGAAACAACACTTAAATGTCACACTTCACCAGCTCAAAATACTGTCACAATATCAAAATCAGATATTAGTCATCGTAACTTCACAGCCAATTGCTTTTGCTCTTTGTTGGATGGTTTATAATTCATTCAAGTGTCTTTCCAAGTCTTTCAGTAATCCACCAATTTTTTTGTTAATTACATCTGTATCTTTCAGGAACAGGCATATTTTCTGATGCCATGTGTACCATAGACTGTGTAAACACGTGGATTAAGGAAATGTGCCATCACCCCCAGCGCTCAGATCCAATCAAATGAAGCTCACCAAGGCGATCAATTATGAGGTGAATAAGGAGTTGAGTTTCATATTGGGAATAGGAATTGATTTACAGACAAAATAGTGAAATAAGAACATCAGGATCATGTAGAGCGGGTTAATATGAACATTTTAAGACCAAAATGATGAGTCTCACTGCAGTAGTTATAGAGAGAGGGACAATGTTTTTTTCAATACAAACCGAATTAAATTGAGGGAGCGTGACCATGCTCACCTATGTCCATTTATATATTCAGTTTATGATATGCACATATTTTTGAACTCTTTCAATTTTATACTGTGTCATACTGTGGCCACGGTTGTAAAATATTTAAAAGAGAGCATATTATTTTAGAAGACAAACACTGCAAATATTTACGTTATGTGTTCTCATGGTTTTCTTAATATTTCAGTTGATGGTGGAATTGTATTTTTATAAAACTGAATTAAATAGAGTAAAGTAGAGTAGAATAGTTAATTTGAAAAGTCAAACAAAGGTCCCAGCAGATCCCAGTGTAATTTTGAAGAGAGTAAAGCAAACATAGTATGAAAACACAAGGAGTTAATGGCGAGCCTCTAACAACATCTGGAAATGGCAAATGACTGCACTAACTACTTATATCTAATGTCATATTTGAGCTGACAATAAACTGTTTTAGTTATGTATTTCATTTAATGTTGTATTGTCTTTTTACAGTAAATGTTAAGTGTAAGTGGTTCTTTCTTGCTTGCGTTTGGCATTTGAAATCATTCTGTTTGAATGGATCATTAGGCTCATGCCCCAAATAGACGAGATGTTTATGTGCAACTAACACAAGTCATTGAACCAGCCCCAAGCCTGGATAAATGAAGACCTTAACAAACTTTAATGTTGATGTCATCCTAATATGAAGGGAAACTCAACATGGAAGTTCCAGTATAGATCGATAGTCATACATAACATACATTTAAAGAAGACATTAAAATGAAAAACAACAGCAGGGGACTGAGCTTATCTGGTGAGAGGCAATGACATTTGGAATTTGGATTTTTTTGTATATCTTTTTCCAGGCCAGAGGGACTTTATAACACTTACCTAATGGTAACGGTCAAGGAGTTATGTGAGAGGGGAGAGGAGTCCTCAGTGATGTGATGTGAACTTGCCCTGCCCACTTCACCATGCACATGACACACAAACAGCTGCCTAGAATAGTGTCATGCACTTGTTTTTGTACAGTTCTCTGTTTACTATTAGCTTTTTTTGTTACCCTTGAAAACACACCCATGATTCTTTGTGAAAATGTGGTTGATTAGATAAAAAGATGGTCCTATTAGAATCTTCTGTATCAGTTATTACTTGATAAATGCCATGGAAAATAAGTAGAGTATAGTTTACAGTCTCCATGTTTTTCTTATTTAGCAGCTTTTACAATATTAAACATGATTAAAAGAGCATTTATCTTGACAAGTTAAAATCAAGTGCAAGTCCTTTAAGTATTTATAGCAACAGTTGATGAATCTATATTGTGGTCACTTGAGTGCTGTTGCGGCGTGTGGGACGTGCGGAACTCTCCTGTGTTTTTCCACTTTGGCTCAGACCACATTCCCACCCGTGCCCAGCTCCTATTCGCAGCTGTCAACACATAACTCCAGATCGGTATAGACATTGTTGGAGCTTCAGTCAAGGCCTTATTGGTCACTGTGAACGAAGAGGTCAACAAGATGGAAAAGTACTTGTTGTTAGTTGCGCTTTTAACTGGCTTATCTGAGTCAGTTGTTAATAAAAGTGTACAGGTAATTCATAGAGACAAAACTGAATACTAGTATCTCTATATTGTTTTTTAATATGCCTATAAATGCATTGGTTGAGGTTCAAGTATCATGCAGATGAATGAGAAATGAATTGAAAAACATATAAACATGAATAAATATTGTTTGAAAGAACATACTGTATGTTTCATCAGATGTTTTTGCAGCTTGTTTTGATGAAATACTTGATACATGATTGACGCGCTTAGATTAAAAAAAAAAGTTTGACGATGACTGAGCATGTAAGCATGTAATCAGGAAATGGCATAAAGCCTAAGGATCATGTCAAACAGGCATCAGTTAAATAAACTAAACTATAAAATAAAATCAATAAATGTCAATAAAAGTAGCAACATGTGCACGGTCACAAATGTCTGACAAAATTATAAGATCTGTCAGAGGAAAGTTCACCTGCTATGACCCACGACTAGAGCATTTTCAGCTTTGGAGATGTAGACAGACTAATAATAGCCTATAGGATTACTCAAACATGTGTGAATGAAACAAAACACAACTCCAAGCATGCTTTTGAGAAGGTAACAACATTACAACATGGCTTAAAGATCACAAGACTCAATTCTGTGTAATATAGGGTAACATTATACTACTTATAAGTGTATTTCAACTCATTTCTTAAGCCTCGGTGTAATTTGTACAAAGGTAGTCTTGATTAACCTTGGATGTTTTGAAGTCTGTTTCATTAAATATCAAATGACATTAAAACTTTCACAGGCAAAACTAAAATTCTCTCATGATAACTATAATTATTGAGACTGCTGTGAAGAACAATTAGGACAAATTCAAGTTCGGACGAATGAGAAGAGCAAGAAATTATACTCTATTGTGTCGCCCAATCACACTGAATTATAAGGATTTTTTGGGATTCATAATTGGATGTATTATTCAGCAAAGTCTAGAATGACCTTTGGCACTTGTTGCATATTGGGTTTTCCATTCTGAGTTTTCCATTTTAATCCCAGTGTCAATATAACCTATAATAAGTCATTAATGAATCTTGACATGGTATAGGCTAACTAACTGTGGGAATTACAGAACATTTGCAAAATTATTCAAATGTTTGTAGTGGAATTAGTCATGATACAAAAAATCCAACTTGATTTCGATACTAAGGAATAGACTCAATACTCAATACCGATTCCGATATCACAATAATTAAAAAAAAAAAAAAAAGATAATAGAATGTCATGTTCAACATTAAATCATAGCACTTTTTAATATATTTATATACTGGGTCTTATATTTGTGTTATGTAGGTGTCATAGTGGTTCATAGGCATATACTAGTCTATGTCTGATTATCCTACTAGTCGATAAATGCGGTGCATAATTTTACAGGAACAAACTGGAAAATGTCCTTCCCACTTCTCTGTCTGTTACTTTGGATGTAACTGAAGTACTGTGATGTGGTATCCTCAAATGTACTACAGTAATATACAGTACAATACAGTACAATGCAGTAAAAAAGTGGGAACCTCATAGAACATGATCCCCCCCATTTCAGTGCAGACTACATGGCAAAACAAGTGCAATCAGAGGTAACAACCTGGTCCCCCATGAGGCATCGGTGGGGGCAGTTCATCACCACGGAAGCAGCTTATGAGGAGCCCAGCCCATATTACATGATTGCTATATCCACAATGTAATGTGTCTATGTGACAAAGAGGGCCTTTGTCCCCATTTCTTTTCACTTTATTTCATTTACATCTATATCAACTAAACAGCTAAATGAGACTATCCCGGGTTTGTTTTATTTAGTCTTTGTTTAGTTTAATTGATCACATTCACACAGTTACTTTAAATTCATTTTATTTGGTTATATCCTTTTGTTTAAACTTACCACCTTACCTGTG